GAGGTTTGACAGCTCTGAAGCACACATTTCATCTAATGCTGACTAGAGTGTAATCTCCATTTTTGCCAGCAAGATGCATTGCAATTGGAGGTCCTTAACTCCACACACTAATCTATCCAGCAAAGTGTCATCTAGATCTCTAAAGTCACAATAGAGAGCTGCTGATCTGAGTGCTGCCATAAACTGGCTTATAGTTTCACCCTCACTCTGATTGCTATGATGGAAGGCATGTCAGTGTGCTATTCTGGTAGGCTGTGGTGCATAATGCCCCTTCAATTTACTCCTTAATATCTCCCAGGATACCTCATGCACTGTCTGTGGAGCTAATAGAGCCATCACTGTGGCGAACATTTTGGGGCCATAGTGAGTCAAAAACAAAGCCCTTTTCTAGTTGCCCAAAATGTTTTCCAGATCGTATGCTTCTAAAAAGCATTCGAATCTCACAATGTAGGAGTCCCATAACTGAGACAACAGGTTGAAAATGGTGAAGGAATTTATAGTGGCCATTTTCCTCAGATTGTGACACTCTGAACAACTGCAGTTTTGGTGTTTAGCACGATTTCTCATCATTAACGCTTCAGCTCTCTTTCAGTGACAGCTCAGCTCTTCGTGACTTAGTTCACATCTATTGCCTCAGCTTTAGCATTCCATCCTCGTTGTCAGTTGTTCCGTATTAGAACGGTGGCTGACAAGGTGGCTGCTCACCTAACAACAACGGCTAAAAGTGAATTCCATCTGACAGCTCTTTTAAACTGAGCTGTAAGATGGCTAACCAATCACAACTCATCTCTGTTTCTTCAACTTCCACTATGGGAGCAGACCAGAGGGAAGACAGGACACAACAGTCATGAAAACCTGTCACAGTTTTTCTTCATTCTTACCTGAAGCTTGGCTTGGGAGCTAAGCTTGATGCTCAGGAGCAAACCTGCTTGTACCTTGGCTTGAGCTTGGCAACAGTTCTGCCTGCAGCTTGATATAACATAAAATATTATCAAGCTGAAGATGTGCAATATCCCTATTTCTGGGCAAGAAACTCTGCAGAAAAGAAAAACTCTGCAAGAAAAATGTTTTTTTAATATGTAACATTTTAAAGAGGCAGGAAAAAAACTGAGTAAGCCAAAGACCAAGGACATAGTTTCAGGGCTAGACCAGCCCATTATAATTGGGAAACTGAAATAACCATATGCAGATAGGGCAAGTGTAAAAAAAATACTGTGAAGTACTATAAAGTCTTGTGCATAGCTTTCATCCAGTTTGTGTGGTGTGTTCAATTATAATCAAAAGAACTTCGATAACACCCTTCAACCTAGTCAGTGTTCAGTATCCAATTTGTTTATTTGTTTGTTTTGCATCAAGTGGTCAAACTTTTTACTATTATTTTTCATCTTGTTAGTAAAGCCATTGAATACAAGATGAGGGGACTTTTCAAGATGTCTCACATTGGATCAAGGTTAAATAATTATTTGTTGGGAAGAATCTTATTACACAACAACATCAGCCAGTCACCAAAGGATTTCTAGAATAATTTGGTATTTGCTGTTTTTTTGTAGACCAACACAACTAGTCTAATGTCCAAAGGAATGTGTTCTACAATTTGGGAGTTATACTGTAACTGAGAACATGTATTTATTGAACATTTTTTGAGGCAACTTATTATATATTACTAAAAAGTTTGGCTGAGTGCTTTTAAAAAATAAAACATGAATAAAACAAAAGTAGAATAGAATGGGAAAATATGGAAGATCGTGAAAATAGAGTTCTATTTATTTCTGTTCAAGAACAGAATTTTTAAAAAAATTAAACATTTTTCCCAGCTCAATAGAGCTTTATGGCTATTATGAACCAAATTAGAACCAAATAACTGGGGAATTCATGTCTAAAGATTATTACATGCATCTATTAGGCAAATTGATTTTTAATTCCTTGTTTCATAAGTATAATCTTTATTGTCATTGTAATTAAATACAACGAAATTGGTTACATCACTATTTTAATAGTTCCAGGAGCCAATTAGACAAAACAAAACAACCCCCCCCCCCAAACAAACTGTTTGAGTTTGTCCTCTCATTGAGGAGTCAATACTCAAATATCGTATAAAAACTTCCCTATTATTTGCAATCTACATAATCACAATGGTGACTTGGGAAATTTAGTACAAAACTCAAAGGAAACGTGTGACAGATACATCTAGTTTTGAGTATTGTTATTTTGAAGTGAAATATAGTTGGATTGTAAGTGGTATTTTGTGGCACAGATCTTGCATTTTTCATATTACTGAAATTACTGAAACCGCATTTGGAAAAGTAAAGACAGAAGCTTAATAGTAAGCAAACAGTAAAAGGAATATATGTAAGCAATTTTTCTCCATAAGATGGCAGATATCAACATGTCTTTTCTTTCAGTTCTACGTCAGTTTATTTACAGATTTTTCTTACTGTTATTTGAATGTATGGTATGAAAAATAAAAGTGTGAGACTCCTCCCTCAAATTCTCATCAGAAACTGAAGATTCATCCGTCTTCTAGAATATGTCTTTGTCTTGTCTTGTCTGTGAAATCATACACTTTTTAAAGTACAGCTGCTTTACTTCATAAAATGGTAAGCTTTCTTGATTACAAAAAAAGTCACAAGGAATATGGATTCATTCTGATTCTCTTAAAGATTTTCTATTTAAGATTTGTTGATTTTTCTTGCTCATCTACTCTTATGAGCTATATTTCAAGCATAAATTTATATTAGTAGCACTTATATTCAAGTAAGCAAGTCTAGAATTAGGTTTAATGATTTGTTTTAATTAACCATACTTTATTGTGGACGCAATGTTTGACTGGTCTACAGAACACATATAACATGACAAAATACATTAAATGAAAACTAAATCAATAAAATTCTGTACAATGTGTCAACCACTTACGTGGTATTTTCTTAGCAGGCTTTTATGTGTATGGTGTACTTTTATGTTGCCTAAAACATCACTAAACACAATCAGTATCCAACTCATTAGCATTTGCAGTATATATTGCAACTTACCCAGTATTCTGTGTTACTTTTCTCTTGATTTGGTTTCTTTAGAAAACAACTATGCTAAATTAGATACATTAATTGTTCCTGTGGATTTATAGAATTGATTTTCTTTTATTACAGTGTCTTTCCTTTAAAGTGCTAGACATATCCCAACTTGTGTAAATATATTTTGACATGCTTTCTCATTCCCTCCCCCCAATTGTTTTCAATAGGTGAGAGTAAACAAGAATTCAACAAACAGCTTCCTATTGTTGGGATTTTCCAGCTTTCCAGGTCTGGAGGGTTTATTCTTTACCACTTTCTTTATCATCTATTTGTTGATCCTGATTGGGAATGCATTCATAATTGTTATAACACTAGCTAATCAGACACTCCATAGTCCTATGTATTTCTTCCTGAGAAATTTGTCCTTTCTTGAAATTTGCTACACTTCAATCATTATACCTAAGATGCTTGAAAACATTGTCTCTGAAGATAGAACCATATCATTTATCAATTGTGCTTTTCAAATGAGTCTCTTTCTTATCACAGGGGCAGCAGAATGTTTACTCCTGGCTGCTATGGCTTATGACCGCTATGTTGCCATTTGCCAACCCTTGCATTATTCACTCATTATGAACAGCAGAGTCTGTTCTGGGCTAGTGGCTGCTTCCTGGCTAGCTGGAATTCCAGTACAACTTTCTCAGACTTTCCTTGTGTTCACCTCTTGTTTCTGTAACTCAAATGAAATCAATCATTTCTTCTGTGACATTCCTGCTTTGCTTAGCCTGATCTGTGGCAATACAGCTATAAATGAGCAGATTGCTCTGTTAGAGGTCATTTTGCTTGCATTGATACCTTTTGCTATGATATTAATGTCTTATATTTGTATTGCCATTACTATTCTGAAGATACCATCTGTTGAAGGAAGGCATAAAGCCTTCTCAACTTGTTCCTCACATCTCATGGTAGTTCTGGGGTTCTACGGTTCTGGAATAATTGTCTATGTGACACCAAAGTCAAGACATTCTTTAGATACAGATAAATATCTGTCACTATTCTATACTGTTCTGTCTCCATTGGTAAACCCTCTTATTTACAGTTTGAGAAATAGGGAAGTCCAAATTGCTTTAGGGAAATCTCTCACCTTTTTGCTCACATGTGAAACAATCCATAAAAAATAACGAACATTATTTTCTAATCATTCCTGTGTTCCTGATGCAACACAGCTTCCTTGTTAATAGACAAGGGTTCAAATAAGTTGAAAATTCTATTTCCATTAACCCACATTTTTACTTTGTTAAAAGTGTAATATCCTCCTTGTTAAGACAAAATGGCTAATGTATATGTTTCTGTCATTAAAAAACTTATAATGTGACAATGTAAAACATTAAATTGTGGTTGAGAATAGAATTAAACTAGGGTTTCCTTTTTCAATTTTTCCGTTGCTTTGTGCCCTCATAATCATCATTCTCTTTACCATCATGTCAAGATGCAATAGAAAAACCTACTATGTTTATTTCACAGAGGTTATTGGGTATGTCAGCATCCAAAAATAAAGGAGAAAAGAAACATGAAAAGCAATTGCCCTATTTTTGAGTAATGGATCATATTATTGTCATCAAAATCAGAGACACATCAGATTGATATGGGTCAATGAGGCTGTTGAATCCAAATATTTATTCAATACAGAAATGTCAGTTTAAGATTCATGACAGTTAACTGGTCCATCTCTTCTGAGTGAAAGATAGGCAACATTTTTCTAGAAAATGGATTTCTAGTTTTTTTCTAGATTTTTCTAACATTCTACATTACTTAGGATGCTGAATAGAATAGAACTGAAACTACATTTATGCTATACCAAATGATCTTAAACAGACTTTAACAGTGTGAACTTGTTAATAATGTATGTTAGAATCTTTCAATAAATTATTTTTCAATCAATGTCTCAACTTCACTACTAACTCACTAGTATTTGTTTATGTTCTTCTTCTTATTACTATTATTACCAGCAGTCAGTGACGGGATTCAAATAATTTAACAACCAGTTTGCCTAGGGTCAGGTTGGCTGTCATGGGAGGCCTGGCCCATCCTCATCCTCCAGCTCTGGCTCACATGCAGGATGAGCCTTCCATGACAGCCATCCTAACCCTGGGCAAACTGATTGTTAATTACACCCACCCACCCCTATCCATCAAAGTGGATCCTGAGTGCTGCACTGAAATGGAAAAACAGGCAATGGAGCAGCCAGTACAAGGGAAGGAGGAGGGGAAATGGCCTTCTCCTTCCCTCATGCCAGCCGCTCCATTGCCCGGTGTATGTGGATAATTTAACAACCACTTCATTTGAACTGGTACAAACCAGTTGAATCCCACCACTGCCAGTAGTATACTAAATAGCAGTGATGGCGAACCTTTTTTTGGCTCATGTGCCAAAAGTGGGGGGAGCACAGGGGATTCATGCGCAGGTGTTCCACAACCATAATGCTATGTGCATGACCCCAGTGTGCATGCACATATGATCAGTGCTCGCTCCCATTTTTGGTGTGCCTTTTTTGTCCCCCCCCCCAGGTTTTAGAGGCTTTACAGGAGCCTGGGGAGGGCAAAAACAGCCTCTCCTGTCCACCCCGGAGGCTCTCTGGAGGCTTCAGAAGTTTCCATGAAGCCTCTGGAGCACAAAAAACTAGTCCTATGGGCAAGCCAGAAGTTTGGGAATGTACTTCTGGTTTGTTCATAGGGCTGGTTTTAGCCCTCAGGAGCCTTCAGGGGCCATGAGTAGGCTTCCCTGAAGGCTCTAGAGGGCAAAAAATGAGCAGACCGGAAGTGATTTCCGTAGGACCATTTTTCATCCTCCAGAGTCTTCAGGGGCCTTCCGGAAGCTTGGCAAAAAATGACTCCGGAGCCTTCAGGGAAGCCTCCTGAAGGCTCCGGGGGGCTACAACTGGCCCTACGGGCAAACTGGAAGTACATTCCTGAATTTCCAGTTTGTCCACAGGGCCTGTTTTTTGTGCTCTGGAGGCTTCAGGCAAGCTTCAGGGTGAAAAATGGCCTCAAAAGAAGGCCGAAGTCAGCTGGCCAGCACGCTCATGTGTGCTGGCCAGCTGACAGGGCAAGACCTCGTGTGTCTGAACAAATGGTGCCACGTGCCACCTGTGGCACATGTGCCACAGGTTCGTCATCACGGCTATATAGCATAGTTGATAGAATGAATTGCAGGTAGATTTTAAGAATATTAATTTGGAGATTTAAAAAAAGGGAATAGTCACAGTTAGGACATGTTTTATGACATCATGTTTTTTTCCTGAAACTCTATTTGAGTGACATATTCTCACATTTCTATTTCACTTACACTTAATTAATAAAAGGGATTTTGGCAAACTATAATATTGTTTTACTGGTATTTGTCTTATTTTTGTTTGGAATAATTCAGTCAACTGCTCATTTTCTTTAAGCTTTGGGAACATATATATTTGTCTCTCTGTATGTCACACACAGTTTGCATCATGAATTTGAGAATAAACTGTTTTAAAATTTGTTTAAAAGTGGCAAGGAACACTTTTCATTTACATTAAATGCTTGACTAAGCAATTTCCCTATAAGCTTAAATTAGCATTTACCCAAATATATCCTTACAACATCATACACAGAAGACCATTACTCTGATGATGGAACATGTTTTGAATTTTTTAAAAAAAGCAACCCTGCCTTCTTAGCTATCAGAACTTATAAATAAACATGCTTGACAACAATTAAGGAAGTTCCTTCTCCTTTAGAGTTTATTTTCAGTCACAGTACTAAGTGTCTCTGTCGGGAGACATTGAGTTTAAAACATATTTACATACCATTCAAAAGAAACAATAAACAAATGTAGAAAGGAAATGTCAAGATTAGGACATATCTTCAGCCAACATTGAAATAAGCAGGTGCTAACATCAGAAAAACAATCAGGCAGAAACATAATATAATCAAGGAACCACTAAGAATAAAAATATACCACCACTAAAACTAGCAAGCAAGTTACTAGACATGAAAAGGCAGCAAAGTCACATTCACTCACACTAATAATACTATCTAATTGGGTAATGAAATGTTGGCAAGGAAATAGTCAAGTTCAAAGAGACCAATAACTCTACAGTTTGACTCCTAGTTACATATATTCTCTTCTACAGAAATTTTGAAACAGTTTGACAATAATCTGGTTCCAAGAATGTCCTGTTTAAGCATAATTCACAAATCTTAAATTAGTGAGATATTTGCTTTATTTTATTTTCTTTGAAATGTGGAAAATTAAAATGTACAATATCTATGATGATATTTTTAAATCTGTTTTTTCTTTTTACTGTTCATTTCTGTTCAGAACTAAGTTTGTCATTGCCTATTTTTAATTTGTCCTTTCTCCCAGAGATCTTAAAATTGTGAACTTTATGCTCAGTTGTGAATTGTAAAGAAGAGATATTCTGATCAGGTGTATGATCTAAATTATCTTCTGAAGTTACAATCCTTATGAGGAGGGTAATCATCTTCAAACATAGTCCTTCAGTCCCAAGGTACAGAGATGAAAAAAAATAAATAGACAGTCTTATATCAATTGAAGCAGCCATCTCCATAAGAAGAGCCAAAACAAGCTGAACTGAATGTCTAGTATATTAAGGTGAAAATCTTATTTTTCTGAAGTGAATAATACCAAAAGTCTTCAGACTTTGGAAGGGGGGGGGGAGTTGTAAACCATAAATAAAATATTTATCAGTAGAATGGGAAGACAGATAATAGGAGCATTCATAGTCAGAGTTAATATATTGGTGGACATGAAATTTCAGACACTTAAATAGAGATTAAAATAGTGTACGTGCTAGAAAATCTAAGTTTTTCATCTAAGGAATAATATATGTGCATGCTAGATTTCTAATGTAAGGGATTGCTTTTTATCTCTGTAGATAAATCTGGATTGTTTGCTATGTTCTTTTATATTGCATTTTAGAACTATGAAAAAAAACATATAGCCCATGGCTTCAAAACTGCCAAATAATTTTGTCTCCCACCACATTAGATTTAGCATCTGTTATAGATAGATAGATAGATAGATAGATAGATAGATAGATAGATAGATAGATAGATAGATAGATAGATAGATAGATAGCATTATATTTGTATATTTGTGTCATTTTTTAAAGTATTGTTTGTTTATACCTTTTCTATTATATAGTTAAAAGCCAATAATATGAGAAACCTACAATATGAGAATTATTTCTGCAATATAATATTCTATTCTCTATTTTTATAAATAATTGTTTTTTAAAAACCAGTTATATCAATTACAAAATAACCACTACATTAAGTATTTCTCATTCTGTCTTTAGTGTCTGATTTGTGAATTTTCTCTTTATCAGTTAATACTGAAGACACTAGATAGAGAGGTAGGTAAGTAGACAGACAGACAGGCAGACAGAGACACCAGACACAGACAGACAGGCAATAGATCATAGATAAATAATCAGGCATAGCATCTATAAAAGATACATCAAAAACTATAAGGAATACATTATTATCAATGTCAGCATTCCATAATCCTCCCTCTAATTTTTCAATTATCAGTAACTGGGATAGAAAATTGAAAATTAAGTTTTATTTGCTATTCTTCAAGCATGAGTAGAACTCTACATTAATTCTGACTTATATGGAAGGAAGGAGATCATCTAGTGGAATTTTAACTGGATTTATCACATTCCCAAGGTCATGTGATCACCTTTTGCAAACTGTGGGAAGAAAAGTTAATGGAGAAGCTAGGTTAATTTAACAATCATGTTACTAACTTATCAAATGCAGTGATTCACTTAACAACTGTGCCATAAAAGTCATAAAATGTGGTAAAACTCACTTAACAAATGTCTCACTTAAAAGAAATTTGTAAATTTGTAAGTCAAGGACTACTGCATGATGTCTACTTCTACTTTTCAAATGTAAGGATAGTAGTAGACATGATCTGGAAATCTAATATATACTAGCATATATTGTATATTATACCGAAGCAAATGTAAGTGGTGCTCACTTTCAATATATATCTATATCTATATATATATATATATCTATATCTATATCTATATCTATATC